TGTTAGTTTGCCCTTAGCACCAATGAAATCAGTTCCTGGTACAAACGTATGAATCTGGTGTCCGGATCCTAGGCGTAAAATGATTATACCTTAATACCCCTCTGTGAAGAAAGCTGGAGAGGTATAAGGAATTCCAAACAACCATACCCTCAATATCCTTCAGCTTATTAAATCCATAGAAACAACCAGATTTTTCCCCGGACGTAAACTATGTAAGACTTCTCTACCTGAATGAGAAGTCTATTTCCATTAACTGTCGTAACAATTAGTATTTTACACTCTCCTCTTATCTCTAGTATGACCACTAAATGACATAATTTTTTTTTAATCTATAACCAAAACCAGAATGTGGATAATTGTAAAGTGCTGCACAAACTTTAGTGTTTCTGAAGATGTTTCCGGCTGATGGGTTTTCCTCTGCTGTTGCATACTGAGCATCTAACACATTGTACATTATACATTGTGCTGCAGCAGATAGGTCGCTTCTGGTATCCAACGTGGTGAACTAAGAGCTAACTAGAGAGTCTCTACGCTGCACTGCACTTTGCAATGGAAATAGAGATGCTTTTAACGTTCAGCTCTGTCCTTATATGATAGGTTTTTGTGTGCTGGAAAATTCTGTATCCAAGGAGCCAAATTCTTTATGCATGGGTAAGGCAAATAGTTTTTCTTACATGACTGTAGTACACACAGTATCCAGCAGTAAAATCCACACTGACTCCAGTGTGCAAACTCAAACCTATAAATGGTCTTATCTGTTAAGCTAGTTAGTATCATAGAGACAAACAGTACATGCGCTGGCTGCTTTTTTTCTAGTGTTTTACTTGTATACTAATGAAACAGGAAATCAAAAGTAATCTCAAAGTTTTCATTCTGTAAAATACTATTTTTACTATTTCTGTAAGGTATTTCTGTCTTCTCACCTGTGCTCTACCTTTTACACTGATAGCAGTAAAACACAACAGTATTGATTCAACATTCAAAAGTATGTCCTGTAGCAAGTAGAGTTTTCTGCTGGACTGTCAAAGGCTTTTTAAAAATCCACCCCCATCCCCAGCACCGATAGCATCAGCAACTAGAAGTTCATTTAGGGGAAAACCTTGTAAAGCAAAATCATGTTTGTGCTCTTTTAACTTTTCTTCTAAAGCTAGGGAAAAAAGCATTTTCTTATCCTGCTCTGAATATGTCATCCCTATAGCTCATGATTCAAATCATGCTTAACAGACAGTGAGAAAATAGAAGAAAAATAAAGAAGATTGAGGGAATTAGAATGCAGGACGCTATCTAGTACTTTGTTTCACTCTGTATTATGTGAAAGGACTTATCAGCAGGCTGATCAGGTGTACAGTGCAAAAATACTGTCTGCTTCAACCAGCAAAAGCAGGAACCCCACCTGTGGCTTTAGAATCAAGGTTGTCACCTAGAACTTACCTAAATGTTCTGGATTTGCTTTGCAACTCATATTCTCCTGTGCTTTTACATGTGTAAGGGAAGGAAAAGGGACACATCTGGCTCTTACAGAAAATCAGTCAGTTATAAACTGAAGACTTTTCCTATGGGCATTACTAAACATGTACAAAACATCATGGAAGAAAACTTTCTTAAAATTTTAAGACCTTAAAAATGACACTATTTATTCACATACTGGCAATGTTAAAAGTTTGCCATTTTATAAGAAAAAGCAATTCTATGTTGTATAAGCCAATCTCTATACCTAGGATGGTGGATATAAACTCTGCCTTAAGATCAGCCTGTCTCACTTTCTTAGTTACAGCAACTCAAGGACTGTGTCAATGTTTACTGTTTGGCAGCAATATAAAAATGTGATTCAAATTTGTATGCATACTGCTTACAAGTATCCATGGAGAAGTTATTTATTAGAATAGGATAACATCTTAGGATAATTTATATTTTCAATCTTTTTTAACCCTGCAAGCAGAAATTTTAAAATGTCCCACTTAGCGTGTTATCCTGCACAACAGCCGAAGTGCGTGCGCCTTGTGTACATGCGTACATAACAGTGGAGTAAGAAAAGGCAAAAACTTGCCTCCGTGTTTCCTCTATTAATTTTTTACATTTCTCTCTTGAACAGACATTGGGTAAAATATTTGAAATATTCACTAAGGCAGGGGCTATTGCTGTTCCACATTGATGTTCTCACCGCTAGGCTACAGAATGAATGCTTGTTACTAACTTTTTTTTTTTTCCTGGTTGTATGAGCCTTTACATATTCTATGCAAAAATGGAATAACTTCAGCTGGAGACCCATAAAGTACTGTGACACCAGAATAGCACAGCTAATAGTGAGAACACACTCCTGAGAGAAATCTGAATCTCTTCTGCCTGTGGAGTAGGCACGGAGCTGTAGTTAGCAAACCTAGACTGGGCATCCCAGGCATGAAGAGACTGGATGAAAAAGGGTCTCCTGCCAGCTCCTCTGGTATTTTGAAAATTTCTAATAGGTCCAGCCCTGCAGGAGAGAGATACAGAGAAATGGCTGGCTGCTGCCTCATTATAACAGAGCTTAGACCTGAGTTGGTTGCTGAGCAGCTGACAGTATCAAGCCCAAAGTGTTTCTGAGCATGTCACAAACTAGACATTGGGGCTTTACTGGAGAAAGCCAAGACACCTGTGGATTTTCAGTGACTTTAGAATCAGTAGCTAGGTGGGTTTTTTCTGACCAAAAAAAAAAAAAAAGAAACAAGGGTGGACTTAGGAAGCTAAACTAGAAATCATGTGCAATGTAATCTTTTCTCCTCTTTTGTCATCTGTCAAATGGTCATAAAACTAGATTAAAGAAAGAGCAGGTGGTAGGGTAAATTTTACAAAGGGCTCTGAAGATGGGATTACTGAGCTATCTAATGTGATACATAAGTAGCAAAAGCTTGTCTGCAAAGATTATCTCCTACTAAAGTGTTCCTTCACACAGTTTCAATATTGATATATTTAGACATATAGTACACATGTTTAATTTTGAATTATATTAATAACAGGATTAATATTTACTTTCCTAACAAAGCACTCAAAGATTTAACGGTACTGTGCCTATAACAGGAATAGCAAGTGACAAAAGATTTCCACTACAATGGTCTAAAGGTTTCTTCAAGTGGTTTCTAACCATCTGCCTTTAAATGGTTTGATAAAGTTTGCCTCTCTTGGTTTTCTGAGAACATGTCTGTACAGAGCAATGAAATACAACGCTGAGACACCCATACTGACAAATTCAGTATATCTCAGCTGCCAGAAGCAGTAGAGAGTGGCTCCACGCAGGCCACACTGCCCTTGCTTCTTCTCTAAAAGAGCTGTTTTGGTGTCTGTTCTGCAGTGTGCAGATTATAGACATACCCTTAATCTTAAGATCAGGTATATAAACAAACATATCTTTGTTACACTTGCTGTGTGCTGTCAGCCTTGAAGAAGTTGTTTATTTCTCAGCATTAAATATAAAATTACTACAGGGAATTCTTAGAAAGTGCTTCTTATATTGTGGTAAATCCTTTAGATATTGAAGTCAGTTGGCAGGCTTTTAAAGAATAATCACTGCCATGTACTTGACAAATATATCAGAATATTGTATTCACAGAGAGAAATTGATAGCTTCATTCATTATTTTATTAATTTACATTAGACAAATTGTTCCACTGAAATCAAAACAGAGTTCTATCTGTCATGATAAAAGTCATTTGCATCTCTTTCTTGGAAAGGCAGGATTAATGTCATCAAACAGTTGGAAACCCTTCTACTCAGAATCTTTAATTCAATATCGGCCTATTTACACAGTAAGAAACAACTTCTGAAGGCTCCAGAACACAGGTGGCCAGAGCATTTTAACTATTAAGAAATGCCTATTTGTGCAACTTTCCTCGTGAAGGGGCCACCCTAAGTTAGACATCTTACACTTGATAACATCTGATAATTTCTCAAGAACACTGTCCTTGAGCTGTTTTTCCAGTGTCCTGAGAGCTCTATGAGCAAGAATAAATGGACAAATAAAGGGCCACATGTTTTCAGTGAGGCAAACGTTAATAGGAAGATTCTTCTTCTGACTAGAGGAGAACAGGTAAAAACAGTGTGTTTTGGCATAAACTGGGGGAAAAAAAAAAAAAAAAAGGACTCTGTAACGGTTCCAGTCCTGTATCTGAAGAAAACTTACTTATACTGACTTCAGACCAGTTTCTGTTGGAGCAGGTTTGCCAAGTTTGGGCAATACTTACAGTTACTTAGTTTAAGTAACCCAACAGTAGTTGTTGTTCTTGAGGACGATACCATGAAGACTTTTCATCTGAGAACAGAAAGTTCAGATCTGATTTTAATTGCCATTTGAACAGGAATATGATATTTACTGGTCAACATCAGAAAGCACTACATGATTTGGCATGATTAACAGCTTCTTCTTAAGAAAATGGTTGGCAAAGGCGGGATGAACAGAAGTGTTTTCACATCCCCTGGCAGAAGCCTGCAAAAGGCTCAGCTGAACTCTATCTTGCAATAGCTATTCATCTCTCACTTAAACGTGCACTGAAACGCTGACTAATGAGCCTATCCCCCTCCCCAGTTGCACTTCTAAGCGCTGTAAAAATTGGAATTTGTATATTTTCTTTTGGTCGAAAGTATCGCAGCAGCCCAAAGCTTCAGGGTACTTCCCTGCTATTTTACTTCAGATTTTTGGATTGTTGTAGTAAGTGTCCTGATAGGTTTCTTTTTATTGCATGACTGAGTCATGAGCATGCTGCTGCAGCCCTTTATTGCTACATCTCTGTCACCCACTAAACTGTATCTGTCCTTGCATGATGTCAAAGTTGTTTCTCAAACAGTGGCTGCCTATGGCTGAGAAGAAAACACCATGCTGAGCAAGAGTCCTCTCCCAGTCTTGCTTGTCCATCCCTACACAGTGTCATTCCCGTGTTCTGTATTTCCCAATGTGAAGCACCATTTCACTGCTATTTAATAGCAAACTTGAATTCAGTTGTTAATATTGTCTTTCTGTTTGCAATTTGCAGGAGAGCTGCTCCCTCTGCTGAATTTTCTGTTGATAGGCATCGGCACCTGATGTCCTTCCTCACCATGCTGGGGCCCAGCCCCGACTGGAATGTCGGCCTCTCGGCTGAAGACCTCTGTACCAAGGACTGTGGCTGGGTTCAGAAAGTCATTCAGGATTTAATACCATGGGATGCCGGCACAGACAGTGGTGTTACCTATGAGGTATTTGGACTACTTGTAATGTATTCAAAACATAAGGTTTACTTTAAAGCTGTGAAGAATGAAAGCTGTTTCATCCATGGTAATGTCATATATGCTTTTATACCACTCTACTAAAAATGTTGCTTATAACAAATTAAAAGTCATTTAGATAGTTACTGGCAACAGTTACTGTCCTTCAGGGTGCCTCAGCTCCCTGAGAATTATTAATGGAATAATATTATATTGCCCTGGGATATTACTGCAATCATCTATTGAATAAACTGAGGACATAGTTTGCTCAGAACAGAAGTATTAAGGTGCCCAGACCCTTGGATACTATGACCCATCAGCAGCCAGTTCAAATGGAGTTCTCTACGGTTTCAGCCTAGTGCCGATTATCCCACTTGGCACAGACTAGTTAATTGGCACCACAGCAGGGTATGAAACTCTGCACTTCACATCACAGCAAGGCTCTACAATCATCCATTTTCTCCCTCTCTCTCAGTCCGGAAAGAGATTCAGATTGTGCCCAGGTAAAATCCTGGTTTTGACCAGATGAGTCACATATCAAATTACTGAATTGATTATGTCTCCATGGGTGATAAACATACCTACACCATGACTCCATAAACACATAGGATAGACACCTGAAGTTAGGCAAGATGAGTTACATCCTCAAATTCCATACATACTCTATTTTAGATGACAAAAGGTGTCGTCTCCTATAGTTCCCTCCTTCCCCCCGCCCCCCACTTCAGTCTTTTCAGAGCATAAGGAATTTTTCCAGTTACAAGGCAGCTCTGTAGGCATTTGGGAGGTTTTTTTTAATGTAGTTATCTAACCACACAGTAAGGTGTACATCTTATTGTGAACCCAGAATCAGGGTCCAATCCCGAAGTGTTAGAGAAGTTCTTCACAACAGAAAAACTTACTGTTAAGTACGAACATAGCAAGTTCATCTTCTGTTGGAATTTCTGAGTTTAGCATTCAAAAACGTTTTTATTTCTGCAGATCAATTATACTTTTACTAATAATTTTAATTTACTTTTAAGCCATATTTATCTTTTTCTTTTTGATTGCAGTCTCCCAACAAACCTACAGTTCCTCAAGAGAAGATCAGACCACTTACGAGCCTAGATCACCCTCAAAGTCCATTTTATGATCCAGAAGGAGGGTCTATCAAGCTGGTAGCCAGAGTGGTCATTGAGAGAATTGCACGCAAGGTAGCATTACAAAATAATAGCCAAATAAATCCTCATAAAAGAAAAAAAAAACTTTCCCTCTCCCCCTGCAAAACCTTACTCTCCCTGACCAACTCCCATCAAAGATAATTAAGTAAAAATTCTTCTTAAATTTAAAACCATCTTGAGATATTTTTTTCTCCTACTTGCGGTAATTGCTGCATCCACTTATTTGGGGATTTTTTTTTAAATATGCATAGGAATTAGAAGAGGAAAAAAAGCATTATATAAATTTTTAGCATATCCTGATACTACTGCTGCAAATACAGTATACTGTCTTCCTGAGTGCTTTGTCCAGTCATATCTTTTAATGATTTATGGTGCAACTTTTCATATATAATTATTCAGTGATTCCCTTTACGTCAGAAACATTCTCTGATATTTAAACTTGGTTTTCTTAGCTCAACTTTATTTCTCCACTGTTATCCAGTAAAGAATCTTCTTAAGACCAGTCAGCGCCTCTTTTGGGCAGGCCAGAGGAGAGGGTGTTTAGACCACATTTAGATATTTATAAACAGTCACTTCATTCCATTTGCATTTCAAGAGTGTAAGTAAGTAAGTTAATCCTAGCATATATTAGATCCATAGTAATCTAGAATGATAGCCTAGACATCCTTTTAATCACATTTTTTTTAACCCTTTTTTTACTTGAAGCAGCAGTTCAAATCCTTTAATCTCTGTTCTTCTCCCCCTCCCCCCCAAGCGTCTCCTTCTGCTTGCTATCACTTTTCTGTACTGGAATTTTTTTAGAGATGAAATTGTAAGACCCATGACTCATTTAACTAAGTGCTATTAAAATTGAGCAAATCCTAATTCTCCACTGGAGGTCTACACAAAAGTGATTAACTACAAATTTGTAGCTGTATGTTACACATACAGCTGTGTTAACACAGTAGCTGTGCTACTTTGCAGCTGCTAGCAACTCATTTTATACCTATCTTAGCCCCTCTATCTGGTTGCACATGAGTTTCCTAAATTCAATCTCCACAATCATTTCTTTGCAGGGGGAGCAATGCAATATCGTACCTGATAACATAGATGATATTGTGGCAGATCTAGCACCGGAAGAAAAAGAAGAAGGTACTTTTTAAATTAGTTTGCACTGCGCTAATTTATATTTTGTGCCATTTCTAGATAGAGTACAAAACTGACTAAGGAGCAGAAGTCCCACTCAGTGTCAGAGTGATTTATTTTTTTCACCTTTTCTGTTTTTTTAGC